TTTTTTTTTTTTTATTTACTTCTTTTAATAATTTTGTAGATACTCCTTGCAACCACCTCTACTGATGGAAAATGTCGAGTATTCTCTACTTTCATTAAAGGCGTGGACACAAGGTACATTTCATAAAGTTTCAGTGCATTCTTGCTTGACATTCTATTTCTTCCTTTCACTTTTTTGATGGAGTCGTATGTTGTTTATATGCTATTAACCAGGGACTCTGCAGGTTCTTCTGCAGATTCAAAATTCGGAGAGGTTCGAATTTATTTCTTTCTACTTCTGTATCTTTTAGGAGCCTATGAGGTCTTTTATATGCTAGGCAACATATAGTTTTTGGAAGTGTCTATTAACTGCAATCTGAAGTTCCCTTTTTGTCGACTAGTATCGGATACCATCTTGCCTACAAATATGTATTGTTTGGTCAGACTATCGACCCGGCATATGAGTTTTATATTGTGTCCTATTGTGTGAGCCATTTGAGTCAACATTTCTATTTTGCAGTGGTCTCTTTTAACCTGGTTTCCCCTACTTGTATTATTGTTTACTTAGCTCTCATCTTTGCAGCTATCTTATATTTTTCATTTTTACTTTAGATTATTTTGCATGTGCCAAATGTTGCATTTATGCTATTTGGAAAAGATTCATTCAGATCCTGATAAATGAAAGACTTCGTCTTTCCTAAAACCAATTCCAGATCCTGATAAATGAAAGACTTCCTAAAACCTGTGATTTCTCAGGGGAACACTTGAAATAATATTAAAGTGGCATGGATCTTTTATTTGAAACAGTAGTAAAGGCTAAAAAATTGATTTGATGTAGATATTTTCACCAACATCTGCTTTCTTTAAGTTGCTTTTTGCATCACTATCATATATTTCTCTGTAAGAGTCGATCCATACTCTAATATTCTTTCACTCTTCATGTCTGAGCAGCAAATTATGCAGCTCGATCTCTCATTTTGTTGGGCATTTGGCATCAAGTGGTCTCCAAGTGGCAATACCTTTGCCTATGTTGGTGAGAAATTCATAACTATGCTTCATTTTGGATATTACTTTTAGTATCTTCTTCGCTTTGGACTGTAAATTTATAACATTTACAGAAATAGTTGTATTCATTTAATTTGTTTGATACTTGCGGACAAAACCTCAGGTCATAATTCCATGATATACTTTGTTGATGATGTCGGCCCTTCTCCATCAGCCCAGAGTGTAGCATTCCGTGATTTGCCCCTTCGTGATGTGGGTCAGCATCCACTCTCGAGCATTTTACTCGATTTATTGTGATCGTATATTTTATGTTGGTCCTAATGAATTACCCCAATTGGTGCGTGTGATTTAGGTTTTGTTCATTTCTGAGAGAATGGTAATTGGTGTGGGATTTGATTGCAACCCAATGGTTTTCACAGCAGATGAAAGAGGATTATGGTGAGTCAAATTTCTGAAATAAACTTTTCCGCCTTTTGGCATGTGTCTAATTTGATGTAAATATAAGTAGAAATACACTTCCATATTTATGCGCGCTATAAGTCATCTGACATCCCAGGTCAATTATTTGTATGTAACAAGTTCATTTATCATCTTACCCTTTGCTTAATTTCTAACATCATGCGCAGAACTTGGAGCTCAGTTCATTATAAGTCATACTTTTTCGTTTTTTCATATTAAGGATGATCAAGTTGCTAATATGAAAAATCTTATATTAAGTATTTTTGACTTCTGTATCTATTGCTACTATGCAATTTTTTTTAACCCCTCAGACTTTTCTGTGTTTCCATTTACGGTATAAGAAAGAACAGAACAAGAATATCGCACCAAGGTCGGTGCTTATCTGCATATGGTGGTTACCTTTGGATAAGTTTTGAAATTGATATTTTTTCAGACCGCTTAAATGTAGAATTCTGTATTATAATCTTGAAGTTATTTGTGTAAGTAACTGTTGAAGTCAATTGGTGTTATCTGTTTTTGTCATCTTCAGGAGTTTCTTGAGATTCCTTGATGAGAGAAAAATAGTAACTTCAAGTTCAAGATATGGTTCACAGGTATACATGTTTAACTTTGGATACTTCTCTTCTGTTTCGTAGGTTTGGAGAGTGTTGTCATGGATATGTCATGTTTATTAGTGGGCATTGAATAGATGTCAAGTTCGGCACTTCATAATTTTTCATACTTTTAATTTTCCAGTTTTCAGAAACATTTGGAAAATTTTACAGCCAATCAAAATATGGGATGAGCAATGACACTTCTGAACCTTCAAGGCGACGTGGAACCTCCCATGAAAATTGCATCAGGTACTGTGTTGCTCTACTCATGTTCGCATCCTTGTTTGATCTATATCATTATGCACCTTGTGTCTGATTTATATAAACACGATCAAGGCTGTGACATGTATGGTTTTTTTTTTTTTTTTTTTTTTTAAACTTT